GCTGTGCTGGGGGTCCGCAGGGACAAGGGTGGTTTGGTGTAGCCCCTGCCAAGGTGGTTAAACCCCCCGTGGTACACAGGGAGTCCAGCTCCATCCCTGCTCCAGCCAGGGAGGGGCTTCCAGAGCAACAGCCCAAAATATGTCTATAATTTCCTGTTTCAAAAAGGATCATTTTTATTTAAATTAGGACCAGAAACATTCCAGGGAGCTTAGTGGGGCCTGGGGGAGAGCTGGGCCGCCCTGTGTGCCGGCACCTGGCGTGGCCCTGCAGGGTGTGGGATCCCTGACCGTACCCTGCACCAGGAGGTGCCCATGCTGTGCTGGCACCCAAAGACACCACAAACACAGTCACTGCCACCCCTCTGGCCAGCTTCCTCTGGCTGATGCCATCTAACCGTGCCAGGACGCAGCATGAGGCTGAACACTGCAGCCTCTCCCCGGCAGCCCCAAGGGCACCGGTATCTCCTCTTCCCCCTCCCCAGCTGTGTCACCACACCCTTGGCCCAGTACAAGCATCTTGCCAGCCCCTGCACGCTGGCATCGAACATGCACCTACTCCCATGCCAGCGTGCTGCCGAAAGGGCGGCAGCCATCCCCCCACCCCCCAGGGTTATCCAGCCAGGGGTTATCCTGCTGGCACAGTTGGCATTGCCCAGGCTCCAGGAGGAGCTGCTGGAAAGCCAGAGCTCCAGCTCAGCGCAACTCCACCAGCACCTGCGAGGAGCATGTGAAGCCCCACAGGCACTGCCACAGCCCCACCACAGCCACCTTTGCTCCAGCACCAGCGAGGAGCATGTGGAGCCCCACAGCCGCTGCCACAGCCCCACCACGACCACCTTTGCTCCGTCCTGGCCACCATTCCACGGGGACAGGGTCCCACTGCACTCAGCATGGCTCTCCCTGGTGCAGGCGACCTGCTCCATGGGCACAGGCACCCTCCTTTCCCTAAGGAACGCTTGAAAATACACTAAACAAGCCCAGTTACAAGTAAACCAACGCTGAGCCGCTGCACCCCCCTGCCACCCTGGAGGAGGTCTGGCCCTGCTGGCTGTCGGCATCCAGGGGCCTCCGTTGGGATGCTGGCTGGCTAGGATGCCTGTTAGCCCCCGGCAGGGTCGGCAGAGCCAGGTGGCTCACAGGAGGGATGTGGGTCCCCCAGCCATTAAGTTTCTATTTATACAGCACCGGCGCCGCACGCAGGGCTGTGCATGCCATCGGCACCTCCTGTCCCCCCGGCACGCCACGCCGCTCTCCCTGACCCCCGGGGAGGGATCCCAGCATGGGGAGGCTGACATGGGCAGTGGGGCAGGCAGCAGGGCAGGCAGTGCCCCTCCTGCAAAGCAGCATTAGGGATCTCTCAGCAGGCGAGGAGCAAAGCTCATTTGCCTGCCTTGGTGACCAGACAGGGATGGTTTTCCTGCAGGTGACACAGAGCTGGGCTCTCGTGAGCCCCTCTGGCAGAAGGACGACCAAACCCAATAGCACACTGAGGATTCTGGGGGGCAAAACCCAACAGTGCTGGTTTGCAAGCCCTGACGCAAACCTGCCCTTAGAGCCACTCTGCCACTCCGGGGCATGGGCA